TCACTTCCCGTGGTTTCCCCGTCCTCGGTTTCACTTCCTGAAATGGTGGACAAGGAAAAACTATGAGATAAACTCAGTAAGTAAATATGGAGTGCCCATTATTAAACTTATAGCATGCCAACATGTGCAATCACGCAAAACGGATACAGTACGGGAACGAAATAGACGTCTCCTCTATAGGTCACGGCCAGTGTTATAAACCTCCCACTGGCAGGCACACGATTTGCTGGTGTATAACCCCCACTAGCAGGGTTACTCAACAAACCGGTTCTATCAATAACATGTCGACATGTGCTAGCGTTTATAACCTCCCCCACTAGCAGGGTCACTAATAACATATCAACATGTGCTGACATGTGCCGACATGTGCTAGCATTTAACTCCCACTAGCAGGATTACAGAAACATGACCACATCGGAGACAAAACAGGCTGAAGTTAACAGAAAAACATAATTCACCAATCACTTTCAGATCATCAGGACAATCACTTAATTTCAAGTAGGCATGCTCAATTTAATGAAAAGCATAAAAATCTCACTTCAAATCAATTATGCTCATTTTTGTATAAAACGGGTTTAGTCCCGCCACCACTTCAAAAACAAATCAAAAACATGCTTTTAAAATCAAAAGGCGTTACCATAATTTACTTACCTCACTCGCATAAAACCGAAGATTCGATCTCAGTGCTAACTGACAGAACGATTGAGAACCTAATCAAAATATCCTCGAATTAATATCGTACTATCACAAATTCACACTGAAATCATCATTAAGATCATTCCTAATCACAATGCTATTTCCATAAATCTCCACATGATCAAATATCTCCAAAATCGTTCTCATATCACAAACTAATCATTTAAATCCCCGTTAATTGTTGGCCCTCAGTGTGTGAACAGTAATCGTGAACAGTGCCGTGAACAGTAGCCACGACATGAACAGTAACTCCACTTCCAAAATTGGCCAAAACACTAGCTAATTCACGGGATTTTCTCTCCAAAAATCACAACAATCTAAATCAAGCTAATTTACACTTAAACCAAGCTTAAAACATGTTCAAATGCTACCGGAATTCCTCCCTATTTTCTGTAAAATTCGGACATCACAAGGGCAGCCAATCCATAGACAAAATTCAACAATTAAAGGGGTAAATTATGACTTAGAGAAGCTGCCACTTACCAGAATTCCAGCAAGCAAAACCAGAGTGCAAATTGGGGAGGAGGCTGGCAGCAAGTGCAAGGGACTCACGGGGCTACCAAAATTAAAGGAACCAAGAGCAATTAACGTAAACCCAAGGCAATTAAAGCTAGAGAAGGGGAATTTCAAGCTATTTCTTACTAAAAAAACCAAGCCAATTCGCCCCCATAAGGCAAGAGCAGCCAACGGTGAAGAAGCAGAGCAAGGCAGATTCGGAAGCTCCTGCAGGGGGAGAGATTTCTGGGTTCCAAATCAGGTTCTTGGACAAGAAAGAAGGAGAAATTCCAAGCTTTCTCACCAATTTTTCAAGGCTGGTGCCGACGGCTTGGAGGGGGATTTCGGGAGCTACAGCGAGAAGAAGAAGAAGAGCAGAACCGAGCAAGGCTGGAAAGAAGAAAGAAGAAAAAGAAAAAGAAAAGAAGTTGATCCTTATCCAATATTTTCCCCTTTTTAATTCCCTCAGCTTTTGGAGTATTCACATTAGGACCCAAAACAATCTTTTCTCATAATCAAGTCCCTAACTTAATGTTAAAAATTCTAGAAATCTTGGGGTATCACAAAGCTAATGGTACCAATGTCATTTTCTTTCTTTCAATTTTGGCCAACCTTCTTTGAACTGGAAACCCCTGAACCATTTTGGTATTGTTCAAGGAGACTTTTCATTCATTGCTTGATAATCCATAATAATTCCATATTTGATTCCATCCTCCACTTGTTCTCCCACAACAACCAATTGAGCAAAAGTGTAATTCATGCAAGTCATCAGCTTTTCACGATAAGGCCCTTTAGTTGATTTAATAAATAAACAACTCAGTTCATGATCAGTTAACGGTAGTTGAACTCGAGTAGCTAATCCACGCCATCTCTGAGCAAATTCCTTAAAGCTTTCACTTGATTTCTTTTTCATCTTTTGAAGATCTTCTCTATTAGGAGCTAATGATATGTTGTATCCATATTACTTCATAAAGTTGTGAGCCAAATCATGCCAACTCTTACCTTTATTCTTGTTTAAAGTCTAGAACCAAGTATCTACAAGGCCTGTCAGACTGTCTTGAAAATAATGTATCATTAGCTTCTCATCGTTTACATAAGGAGCCATCTTCCTACAATACATTGTCTAGTGAGCATAAGGACAATTGATTCCATTGTACACATCAAATTCATGCAATTTAAACTTATGGAGCAATTGAATGTTTAGGAAAAAGCACAAAGATGAGATGTCAACCAGTTTATTGATTTGGACATCTTGCATCAATTTAAATGTTTCCTCCATCAACTACACCTTTACTTTAATTGCCTTGTCTTCATCCTTTATGATTAACTTAACAACTTAAGTCCCTACTTGATCATTTTTATTAGACTGAACTGTAGCAACACTAGCATTTAAAACAAATGGTTTTGTCCCAAAAGCTCCAATAATAGTTGGATTTGGTGGGTTAGATGACATTGGCTTCTTTCCAAGAGTTGAAGCATATGTGGCCATAAGGAGATTTGTCACAGAAACATTTCCTTTAAGCAAAGGATTTGTTGTCGAAGGTGCCCTTGTGACTAAGGTTGCTTGAAGAGATTGGAAGGAAGCCAAAAATTACTTCAAAGTATTTTCCATATTTTCAACAATATTTTCAAGAGCTACCTTCTCTAAATTAGCTTCATCAGCCATCTTCCTTGCAATAGCTCTAGTGAGAATAGGTGAACGAACTTTTGGATAATTCCTTTTGGGACAAATCTTTCAACACCTGAAGAATTATTAACAAATCATAGATTTATCTAATTGGCATTTTGAAAGAGAAGTTCCCAAAGTTTCCACTAGATAAAATCGATAAGTAAACCTATCTTCTAATTATTTATTTTATATATGGATTCTTCATTGTCAAGAACAACTTCAACCACTTGCATGTAAAAGGAAGGAGAAATTAGAGCCAAGTAATTGTCACACAAGCCTAAAACATGAGGAGATTGCCCCCCTCATGACATTTTAGATTTTTTTTAAGTAAAAGAAAAATAATGAGAATGTTGCCTCCTTCGTATCTTTTCTTCTTACTTTTTCTCAACAAGTAAAATTTAAGAAAATGTGAAATTTGACTTCAAACTTTATTCCTTTATTTAAAATTTTGAATATAACAACTAATAGACAACAATCATAAACTTTCATTTCTCTTTGTTTTTCCAATACTCTATTGTTTTAAGTTCACATTCACAATAATCCCTTATCATCCTCAAAAGCCCTTCCACAAAGTTTGAAGCTGCATCATGTTGATTTGGTGGAATAGTACGCTTAACCTTCAATGCTTCAAAATATATTCCATTAACCAAATAGAGCAACCTTCCCCCTTCTCTCTTTAATTGGTCGATTTTATCTAATGCTTTCCTCAATTGTCCATTCAATCCTCTCACCTCTGCTTCTAATCCTCTTACTCTTCTCACTTTGATAAACTTGTCATGTTTGCATTAATGCCAATTTTTCCTTCATCAGTTCTTCATTATTTTGAGCTTCCTTAGGTTGTTGCAACAATTGTAATTTATTTCATTTTCAAAGCCCTTAAGTCAATCAATCTCATCCTCCTACTGGTTTACTTGAGTTTTTAAATCGACATTATGATCCTTGACTTGATTGATCTCATCCTCCAACTTGTTTTTGTCATGCATTAAATGATCATTCTACCTTTGTTCCTTATAGATGATCCTTCTTAATCTTTTAAGAGTTTGAGCCTGCTTGTCAACTTCTTTCTCTACCTCCTCTTTTTCAGAAGTTATAGAATTCTTCTCTTTAATCAATTTTTACTTCTCGCCTTCCAAAAGATAAATGTCTATATTTTTCTCTCTAATTTCATTTTCATGCTTGACCCTTTAAGCATATGACAAACCTTCTAGCTCTACTATTCTTTTCTTCAAATCCACAATGACAACTTCTTTAATAATAGGAATGTCATAAGGGATAACTATATCTTGAAGCCAAACTTTCCTCCATTCTTCAAACTCACAAGTGACTGAAATCTTATTCCTTGAGAAACAAACTTCACATTGTGACCATACTTCTTTGGCAAAGTCAATTTGATTAATTACTTGAGTATCAGGAGAATAATCAAACCCATATAAAGAAATACCATCTAGCAACGGTTTACTTTGCCTATTACGGAATTACCTCATCACCAACATTGAAATATAGCTAATAGCTCCTCGAACACCCAACAACGGAATCCAATTATAGCCGCGTGGAGGATAAAAGTAATTAGTAGACTTCAACCATGTCACATAGCAAACTTTTCTTTAGATTTCAAATTCAAGAATTGTTGATCCCATTGGTTAGCCATTTTTTTTCCAATTGATTCTTTTTTTGCAAAATTTTGAACTCTTTAATTGTGGAGAAATCTACCTTTGATCTACCCTTGCCATCAGCTCTGATATAATTAGTGTTGCGTAGGGTTTCAGCAATTAAAATGGGAGCAACATTAAGATTTAGATTCTTGATCAATTGTTCAAACGTGGCTACAACAAATGAACTGATAACCTCCATATTGGTAGGCAAAATAACCATTCCGTAAATACCCAAGGTAACAAAATTCAAATGATCCTCCTCAGAAAGTGAATTTAGATTAGACTTTAATTTTAAATATATTATGTTCCAATTAACTCCCTAGATTTCATTTCTCTTCAAAATGCAACTCTCTGTGAACTCTAAAGGAAAACTCAAAATCTTTTGTCGCATGGACTAAAATTGCAACTTATTTAATTGGAAGTTAACAAGATCTAGAACATAAAATTTTGAATTCATTGTTGGCTGATTGAACAATAACTTAAAATATTCTTCAATGGTAGGTACCAACTCAAACTTGGGGAAAATGAAGCAACGAAGATGTGGGACATGAAATCTTCGGCTTGCCTTAATGATTTCCTAGTTCGGCTCTACTTGCAACACATCAGCTATTCTACCAAATATCTTGTCAAACCTCACTTTATCAAGATTACTTAGACTATTCCAAGCAACAACCAAGTCTTTTACACAAGGTGATGAGTTTAATTTTTATATGCATTTATCTACCCTTTTTGAGCCTAGAATTTAATATTATGGGTC